ATGTATCCATCGTGTATTTTTGGTCGACGACCACTGAGTGCCGTGGGCGTGTATCGGCGCGGTTTGTTTCACGGATATGTGATAATTTAAACGGAAAATTATCCGCGAGGTCAAAACTGTTGTTAGTAGGTAATCATGTTGGCCGTACAAATATTTAAGGTACGAACATTGGTTTGTTATGCATTGTTGACGCGATCGCGAATTATTCACTGCGAAACGCAGGGAGATCGCACGCACTTCATAGAGAGTGCTTGCTCCTTCCTTTTCTTTTTGTTCCGCGGAGTAAGATCGGGAATTATCGTTTATAATACCCCTCGTAATCTTTCTCCTCGTACGATTTGCGCGAGATCGATAAGCGCGAAACTGCCGTTTCCCGGCTTAATAGCTGTGCGGAATATAACTTCACCGCCTCCATGTGTGTGTATTGCAGTTTTTCATGAGCGCGTTGCAGCACTGAAACTTCCTCGCCCAATTAAAAATAATTGAATGCAAAATCTGCTTTAATTCGCCAACTTTCAGACGGCTTATGATAGCAGCTTGTAATTATGCGCGCGCTTTATAAAGCACGCACTTTGGTAAAAGCACTCGTGCCCTCGTGTTTTTAGTATCATGCCTTATATATTTTTACGATAAGTATGCATCACTCAGTCATAACGGAGATACGGCGAAAGATATGTGTCGCGCTTTTATGCCGAAAAGGAAGACGCGAGGGGAGGGAAACGATAAAAATAACTGCGGAAAAAAGCGAAGTGCTCGTACACGATTTATTGTAATCGCCACTAAAGCGTGGTACGCAACGATCTACAGTGATATTTAATGACAGTGTGGATTCAGTGCTTGTCGATCGTTTGCAATACACGAGGCGGACAGGATTGTACGGGATTTTTGCCGTGCGAATGATAGCAAGATGATAACGCGGAATTAGCGCGCGTATGCCGCGTTCCAGGTCACAAAAAAAAACAACAATCCCCTACGTCACGCGTTTAAATTCGTATTTCGGAGCTCGCGACATTGAGGATTGTTTTTTGTATCTTCGTGACGTACGACGTGACGAACGTGTTTTGCTGTCTCCGCGCTGTGACCTTGCTATCATTCGCATGACGGCACTCGTACAGGCAGCCGGCAGACCGGGCAGCGGCGAAAGCTGCTCTTCTTATCGTCGCGTTGTCAGTTTATAAATTGAGATCGTGACAAATATTAGGTTATTTCGTATGAATAATGGTCGATTCGCCATTTCTTATGCCCGAAAAGCGCGCAAAGCTTGTGAAGGCAGCTGAAATGTAACATAGCCGCGGTGAATGGCGCGCAAAATTGACTACGCAACAGTCGATTTTTCTCCGCCGCCGTTGCCTGTTCGCGACGAGTGTGGATCGTAGTTTTCGTGTGACCGCATTTTTCGCGTTTTCGTTCGTCATAATGTAACAAAATGCGCGTCGGGAGTGCGGAGCAATGTCGCGCGATGGTAATTAATCGTGCTTTTGCGAGTATTTCGTTGTGCCATAAAGGAGCAGCCGTCGATGGACTACCGAGAGGAGGAGGAGGCCCGGGAGGCGTCAAACATCGGCGGAGCAACTTTAAGGTTTGCGCAATGTAACTTTTAAATTTAACTTTGAGTAATTTATTTATATTTATTTTTTTTGTTTGTTATTGTACGATATTAATCGTTTATCTTTGCAACGCAAGTAATTTTAATACATATTTGAAAACATCAATTATTTTAAGTGCTGTTATATTTATGCGAATATATTTTTCTGTTTTACAAATCACAACGTAAACTACAACTCCGTTGTTTCGCATCGGCCGGTGAGTGAAGATCAAGTTATTTTTATCTTTATTGATTTCATTTACTAGGTAATGGACCTATGAATATTATATCAGATGTATAATCTCTTAAATTTATATTCTCATATAAATATTATAAATGGATCCATTACCATAAAATGAATGACAGTAGATTAGTAGATTGATGTTAGAATATTGAAACGTAGAATATATCGCGCGCGCGCGATTATTCTTCGTTTTATTGTATTTATTGTATACCAAGGTATACGCGGGCAATACACACACACACGTAAGAATACGAACGTTATAGCGATGGTTCGTGAAGTCGCCGTTAATGCTTTACGTCTTTCGCGATGAACTAGAAAAAAGAAAACGCCCGAGCGGCGCTTTATCGATCATCGCTGTACCTATCGTTCGTCGTTCATTTACCGCGAGAATGCCAGCGGTACGTGTTACTTGGTGCGTTGCCAAGCGCGGACGATAAAAATTCGCACCGAAATATCGCTTTGCGGAAGACGCATGTCCGTAATGGCACATCACTGACGCACCATTACTCGGATATTCTACCGTGGAACTGCAACATACGTACGCATGCTATGAAAATTGGGTCCCCCTGAGTTTAATTAAACGACCGCCGATGCGCGCGGTTTTCGCATGTTTGTCTATACGTAAAACGATGAAATAATAATTGACGCGTGCTTATGGTATTTGTCGCAAAACCATTCGCTCTTGTGCATCGTTCGTTGCAGTTGTCGCGTGTACGATGCCGTTAAGTGCACATGCCCAATAAAAAAGCTCCGACCGCTTTTGGCGTGAACAAAAAGAAGGATGGATTTTCGATAATTTCCCGAATGAAATAGATGTTCGTCGACATTCGACTTTGCCTGCTTTCATAAATTCCATTTTTCCCTGCAAATCGTATTTTTCTTTCGCGATAGGATCGTATTATCACTTTACCAAAGCACGCTTGTCATTTTTTGGGTTGTGTCAACATTAATCTGTTATTTAATGATTGATTCGCCTCTGTTATCTACGTTTCCAAACATACTTCAGGTATTTTGCAAAATTTTTATTTTTTTCATAAAATAAATTATTACGACACAAAGAAAAATTTCCTCACGAGTCACAACGCGAAAGATCTCACGACATAACGATATTTTCTCTAAATATATCTTACACTTACATTTGCACATTTTCGATAAAAAGCTTTCTCTATCAATGTTATTAATTCTCTTTGCGAGCGCTTCGCGTTACGTTAGTAGCTTTCCATTGAGCTCGAGATATCGCAAACGGCGCGAAAAGCGAAAAGAAGATCCGATTCTGAGAAGATAATAAGGCCGCGCGACACTGTCGATGAGCATCGGCGAAATGGGGTGAGCCAATTTTAGGTACACTCCGTCACCGCAGAAAGCCGACGAAAGCAAGGTAAAGCGGAAGAAACCGCGATGACTTTCCGCGCGACCTCGGATGGCCCGAATACCCTCACCCGGAATTTAATAAAAATCCGAGAGCTTCCGGAATCGAGCTCGCAGCCCGTCGTCTCTCGACGGGCTTTACCGGAGAACATTATGCCTCTCGGCTCTTTCCTCCGTACATCGCTCTTCGATTCTATTTTGCTTCACTTTCTCTATCGCGCTTTTCGCCCCCGACCCTCCGCGTTTCTCTTGTTTTCCTTGCTCTGTCTCATATTTTGCGAAGACATTTCACCTATCCCGAATAACTCGTGGACAAATTGCGCCGCCGAACGGTGCTTGGACAGACTATTTCGCGGGAATTGAGATATTTGTTATAAATATTGGTAATACAACGCGCGGTTTGTCATTCTGTCAGATCAATTGCGCGTGATATCGTGGAGATTGAATGACTGAGTTCTCAATCTAAGTGAAGAATTCTTGCACAAGAATATTATACTTTACTTTTAATTAAATTATATATAGAATATCACGTACAGTCGCATTTTTCTCCGTTTAAATTTTTCAACAAAATTCAAGTAAAAAAGTCAAGTCAAATATTTTTAGCAAAAATTTAAAGGTGATTTTTATCATTCTTTAATTTTTAACATTTTTAACGTTAGAATAGACTGTAATTTCAAAATGCAATCGAGTAAGTTCTGCTTGAAAAATTAATCAAAGATTAAATAGTGCCTGTTGAACGCGACGCATATGCTTTTATATAAAATTATTATAAAATAAAATTTCATTTGCATCAACCGAAAAGCTTATTGCGCAGCAAAATTTTTTGATGTTCTTCAATTAGCATAAAATATCATATATCAACGAAGTAAAAAGGGTTTCACTATATGAGAATTTTCACACGATTTTTCGCGACGCAATTTGTAAAAAAAATTCTTTCTCTCTCTCTCTCTTTCTGTTTTAACATCCATGCCGATGTGCAATTTTTCTCTTCAATATACCATCAATATCGAACGAGCGCATAGGATTCGCGCCCACTTCGCGCAATTGCGAAAATATTGGAATTCGTAAAAAGATAATTTGAAGATTCGAGTGATAGCTGCATCGAGATTATAGAAAAATTAAGTTAACTATCTTAGTCGCATTTAACATCGCCTTGCGATTCTTCCTTGTGGTTCGAAACTATAGAAACAGTGAAACCGTGGGAGAAAGAAGAAATCGGGAGCACGTGGCTGTGGAGTGAACGAGATTGCATGGAACCGAAGTCGGGGCTGAGCCGGGGTTGGGCCGAGGCTGGTTTAAATACTTTCCCGCTTCGGTATTCAGCTTCGTTTACTCGACAACGCAGATTTTCCCTTTGGTCCGATTCGCAAATGCATTCCTTTTGCGCCGATTCACAGAGGGAAGTGGCGGGTACGGGCGGACGGATCGATTGTACCCTTTAGATTTATCCTCCTGAGAGACCGCAGGCGGTGTTACACTTTGTAACTACGGCGCAACAACGAAACTACGAAGCTTCATGAGTTCCAGCTATCTGCTCTTAAGCTTTGTACATAGAATCGAAAAGGGGACTGTTCTTAATATTTAACAAATTAACAAAACGGACATTTTAGTTTCTTTATATTGCGTTTACGAAATTGCATTATTATTTGCGCACATTTAATTGGGAAAAATTACGCGTAAAATAATTACATAGCATTTGTCTGAAATATAATAATCGGCTTCGAATTTACAAAAAAATTGTTATTTGAAAAGAAGCGTGTGAATTGTGGAAAGACCATATCATTGATGATATATAATACTTACGATACATTTCAATTGCTACCGACGTCGACACGGGTTGACTGATGTTGTTGTTGGATGCTTGACAGTCAAATGTTGCGTGAAGATCTGCTCTTGATAATTCTCTCACTATCAACATATTCTGACGAACTTCAGGGAACCCGCCTGGCTCATCTTTAGAATCTAAAAGCGTCTCTCCGCGCCACCATCTTACTCTGGGTTCGGGATGGCCTGGAAAAACAAATATCGCTAAATTAATTTTCTTTCCGAAAAATATTATTCTGGTATTTAGACAAACGCGAATTTATATAAAAATATTCAATTTTCATATAAATATATTTATACAAATAGCGCTTACATAAAACTGTAGTTTGTATCTTTATCGTACAACAACGATAATAATAATAACGTTAATAATAATGCTTATCAAAATATAATGCAAGTTTAGGATAACAATCTTCTATTTTATGCAATTTGAGTTAACACGTTATAAATAGGCAAAATCTATTTAATAGCGACTATCTTGAAAGTTTTCTGTTTTAAATAAGCTCCTTATGTTAGATTGTTGGAAAATGTCAGTATAAATTTAGACAAAATGCAACATCTTATAAATTTTTATAAATGTGAAACTCAAAGATATTAAATGCGACATTTTCTATCATTTATCTCGGTTGAAAGTTTCTCGGAAATATACGCTCGAACTTATAAACGGGCACTTCCTATTGCAAAAACTACCTTCGGTATCCGACATCGGCGTATCAGCAACACTATCCGTGCGATGTATCGCGCGCGTTCCTCCCTATCTTATACTTCTTCGCGGACGTATGCGCCGAGTTCCGTGCACATACGTACGTATACTATTCGCGCTCTCTTCGCCCGCCCCCATCACATAGGCTCCGCGGTACGCGTTAATTCATAATTCATAATGGCCGTTGCGTGCGGATAATCCCCCGAGGGTGAATATCCTGTTAAAGGGAGGCGAGTCGACGGGGCGGTCTAGCTTGTACCGGAGCGACCTCATTATTTTTTACAGGACCTATTTTTGTTCGGGAGGGACAAGCAGAAAAATACGCGGTAGCGGAGGGGTTGCGCGGATCGTGGGCCGCCGAGGGCTGCAGGAGGAAAGGCTGGAATTGTAGGCGGCGGTGAAAAGTGTATAAGAGCGGTATAGCTCTGTCGTGTCCCTCGGGTGGCGGCATGCGAGGTAATAAAAATAAATTTATTATCGTTATTGCCTTCGCCTTGCCGACACAGCAGTATACGCGCGCGCGCGCCGGATATTAAAATGTAATAGAATAAAGGGGAGCGCCGAACGAATGCATACACCACGAACGGCTAAAGTACTCGCCGCTTTGTCGAAGTGCTTAACGATCTGGAAAATGGCACTCTTTTAATTCTGTATTTTCACGGGCGATACGCGCGCGAGGAATAAAAGAGCGCGTCCCGTTTCATCTATACAGTGATAATTAGCGATATTCGGATTATCGTCTCGAGGATTCGGAATTGATGTTTTGTACAGTTACAATGATTATCACGAGCGATCAGAATGCGAATTGCATCAACACAATAAAGATTAAAGCAAAAGAGTGTCGCGGCGTAAAATTTAAAAAAAAAAACAAGAATTATTAAAAAAAATTTACGCGAGATTATTTGACGTCAGAGCTCAGAAGCATGTTCCTTATTCGCAACATCAGAACGCGGTCATGTGAAGTTTTAATTAAGCGCTATAACTAAGAATAACATGGCTCCGTTTTACGGAATGAACAGGATCGCGGCGGCTGTTTTACATGCAGGAGCGAGAAAACGTTATAAAACCAGCGGAGTCCGTTCCCACTGGTCGTACCAATTATTCGTACCAACTCTTTCACGGCATATTTACGAGAGCAGCCTCGAAAGAGAATACTCAGATGTATTTTCATTCGACCTGCCTCTCATTACAGAAAGTAGGACTTACCCCCAGAGACGATGCACTGCAGTGCCATGTCACCGCCTTCTTCGTAAGGGCCGGCGACTTTGTCGACAGGGGCGCCATGTTCGTCGATAATCTTTGGCTTTTGCGGCGGCACTGTAAGAAAGAAAGGAAAGAGAATGTTAAAATGTTATATTAGTCACAATGAATAAGTCTGGGGTATTTAATGGAAAGAGCAAAATAATGATTTTAGGTCAACAATTTTCCAAGAATAAAAATAGACACTTTATAAAGAAGTTTATTTAATATGAAATGTTTCATTTATTATCATATCATAATCAAATATAGAATATTCGAATTAGAATTCTATTATATAAAGTTTTGATACGTTAATATTTTACACGTCGATAAAATATTTTAGTGATATCTTCTTATTATAAATGGAAGCAATATATAATGATATATTTTCTCGATTAAGTTTTTATCATCTGTACGGAATAATTACATAGATTATATCATTGGCTTGAAAGTTGACTGATTTTACGTTTACTAGAGTACGCGGCTGTATTTAATAGTATAGATATATTCGGTACAGCCAATCGTTCGAGTGGCTTTGAGTTTGACCGCTTCTGACATCACTGCGAGCTATTTAAGTGCAGATAGGAAACTTTCCATGTAAGTCAGTGGCGTCCGGGGAGGAGTAATTCACGATACTCATGCCACGAGTACCGCACGAATAGTCGAACAAGCAGGTGTACAGGTGTTACAGGTAACTGCTGGAAACTCGTACAGCTGAGTGAACCAGCACGATCTGCCGCAGAGTAGTTTGGCGAAAACTCAGATTAGAGACTATGAGATGAAAGATGCAGAGCAAAATCGACATCTCCCGATATAGTCTATGTTTCACATGAATGAATTAATGAATTAATGCATACCGATTAAAAATGCGTAAATCTTTTTTTCTTTTAAGCCATACTTGTGGAGTGTCTTAGGCTCTTTATACACACAAGCGAGAAACTTTTCTCGTAACTGAATTGATATCAGCTACGATCCTTTCAAGATAATTCGCAACCTCTTATTATGTCAGTAATTCGTACACCCACCGCGCGCAGCAAAGCATTTTGCGTGCAAGGAAACAATGCACCGCGAGGTATCAAAAGGGCACGTAAAGGAGGGTCACGCGGAAACTGGAATCCCTGGCCGTGTATAGTTCATTCCGACATGCGGACGGGTGGAGGGTGAGAGGATCTGCCATGGCGTGTAAACGCTGGCAATTGAATATCGGAAATAGCGGCGTGTCGGAACGTCAGAAGGTGAGTAGCGAGGGTATTGCTTCGAAGATAGGCTGCAGTCGCGGTTGGGATGTCGGATGTCCGTCCAAACGAAGCAGGCCGCGCTATGAAAATTCACAATGGCGGACGGAGCCTCTCGGATGAATCGATAGTAACGCAAATCCGATTTGATGGCGGACTAAAATTCAATTTCAACATATTTTAATTGGCATTTCCAATTTGGATTTCCAATATAGATAAAATATATTGTAATTCTCAAATTAAATTTTTTAACTTAGTATCCCTTAATGAACGATTACTTTATTACATACATATCTCCATGTGACACTACATAGTCGCGTTTCTTTTTCCTTTCTAATTATTACACATAATTGAGGACACGGCGATAAAGGCCATAATGGTTTTACATATGTATCTTGAGCTAAAGTTCATCCGTTCTGTTTTATAATTATACTCACAAACACATAGATATGTTCCCGAGTAGGACAAATTGAATCGGTGAACCGAATAGGGAATAAACTGGATTAACATGAACGTGCGAAGTTAAGCCGTCGGTCACGATACCGTGCAAGTGAGAAAGTCCCGACGTGAAAACGTTATCCGATACCATCTGGAAATAGCGTGGGGAGTGAAGCATCCCCTGAAAATAGGATTATTATATCTTCTATATTTTGTATGTATCAAGTGTAATCGATACATTAGCGGATCTTTTGGTATTATATGCAGACAACCGCAGCCACTCTCTCTTAATACCCATTAAATATCAGCTTTACGTATAGCAACCGTTCGGAACGAACTAAATTATCAAAATGCGTGCTCGCAAGGTACTCGAACTCTCGCGTTCGCGAGCGACTCGAATTGTGTTGCGCATAACAAGTAGATAATCGATTAAAACACAATAGATAGAGCCGTGTTTGTACGCTTTTAACATAATACGCCATTATAATATCGAGTGATCTAACGTAATCCACGATGAGTACTATACGAGCAGCTAGTACTTTCGGTCGTTACAGAAGCTAATCAGGAAACTAAATCCTTGACAATGCAGTGCATTCAGTGCGAAAAAAAGTAGTATGTTAAAGAAGAAAATGTGCACATAAAGCAAAAAGATAATTACTTTATTTATAATATTCTAAAATATAAAGCTTTGTTCCAGAAATATAAATGATTTAAATTAAACAACTAGCAGTAAAAGGTTTCTCTCTGTAACAATTAAAATATTAATTTGCTTTAAATTATACTTAATGGTTACTTTGTTAAACATTTTGTCAAATAATTTAATATATTTTAATCATTTCTGCGGGGCTTGAGAAGTGTTTGCAGCGCTTCGCTGGTGACTGCTTCCATTGTTCACGAACTTCGTGGAAGAACAGGACATTTCCAACAGAACATTTTCGCGTGACAAATGATATGCTGGAATTTAACGGGTTAATTTGTAGCATCTAAGTTTCACATCGGCGGGAGACGATATGCCCTCGCAAATTATGATGTTTGGTACGTGACACGGAAGAGGAATAGTTAGAGCGTATCGTTCTCAGATACGAATATTTCGAAAATACGAGGTATATTTCTGCTCCAAGATGAGCACTACTGCAAGAACAAGCAACCGCAATTACTTCGCGCTGCTCGAATAGTTAAGCTCTTTTCACTTGAGATCTTTGGTGTCGGAACTCAGTCCGTCAACCGGAAATACAGAGCCTGCATTCAATATCTTAATACTTGTGTCCAGTCTTTGTACATATTGTGGTCAAACTCTCGTAGATAAAATTTGCCTTTTATTACTTCAATGATTTTTTATGTAATGTACTTGACATTATATATTTATTATATATTGTTTTGAAGGCTGATAGAACATTAATTTATTGATGCGATTTAATTTCAACAGCGAGCGTTTTATATAAGTTATATTAGTAATTTTTCCAAAGCATTACGCGAAGTGAACATTTAGTAAATTGAGGAATCGTTGTGATAAAGCGTCTTTTTTGGAATAGTCCTCTTCACGGGCACCAAAAGAAACATCCAATATCGAGATAGACGTCACTTTTGTAAAATCTTGTGTCTTTTCTTCCCAAGGTACTTACATTAAGCTTTTCGAAGTATATAGTCGAAGCGGCACTTTAAACGAAGATCAAACGTTCTTTGTAAGAGCGTGTAAATGGTGTTGCGATAACGACGGGTACAAGAGAGAAAGACAAAAGAAAGGTGAATTATAATATAAAAGAGTTTACTGCGCGAAATCTTTTCTTAGGATCAAGAGAAGGATATATATATTGTCCAAATATTCTAATATCATTCTTTTGATGATTATTATCTTTGTCTCATGAAAATTACATTAGAAATTATTAGTTTAAGCAATGATAAGATATGATTGCGATTAAAATAAAGTTTGATCAAAATAATTTGTTTTGTTATAACAGATAAATGTACAAAATAATATAAGATATCAGATACTCAGCTTTGCTACATGAAATTTTTGCGTTACAATATTTATTAATTGAAGAAAAGACACATGATGAAGTTTGGAGTTTGAGATAGTTAAAATTAAATTAATTTAACATATTAAAATTACAAATGATATAAACTTAAAAACGTAAAAAGGCTGATAACGAGGATTGCGTGTTTAACTACCCTAACTATGTCAAACTGACTAGTGGAATTTGCTTGCACGTAGTTTCCTGTTGAGCATAAATTTTCACGAATCGTGCATAATAGAATTCTATCAAAGTTCTAGTGTGATGATCGATAAATTACAATTTTGTCGATAATAACACCGGCACCATTCTAATATCCTTCAGTAATTGCGGCATAAAGTTATTTATTATTAGTTACACAAATCTGTTTTAAAATATTAAACATATTAATATATGAAAAGCAATTTATTTGTGCGATCATTCGCTCTAATCGATTCGTGTCGGGCTATCTGAAATATTGACATGTTCTGCGCATGGCGATTGAACTAGTGATGTGCTGATATAAAAGTGCACGTCGGCGCTCGATAACAGTTTTAGCGTTCGTTATAAAGTAAGTAGCGGTCTCGAGAATATGATATAAATTATGTTGAAATATTGCAACATTAAATATCCTTTAATCGTTCAGTAAAGTAAATTAATCTTTCAAAAAATTTGAATGATGGTTAATCGAAAATTTTGCAAGTATGCTAATTTTTTGTTGCTTATATTATTTATCCATTTTCGTATGGAAAGAGTGGGGAGAGATAGAAGTTGGTATGTTATTTACTATTGGATACAAACCTATCACCGTTAGATGAATTCTGGTATTTTTAGTCGGACTTGTAGTAAAGTCCACTCGGCATCTGTATTCGCCTTCGTCCTGCTCCTTTATAAGGTAAATGTTCAAAACTGCTGGCTCCGTTGTTGTCTGGAAGTACGCCCGATTGTTCTTGAAATACTGTTCCTCCTGCCAATGCGTCGCCGCTTTACTATTTTGCCGTAGGTCATAACTGAAACAAATATTTCCACTTTGTATGCTTCATTTGTCATAGATATGAGAATTTTCACATTTTTTCAAATATCTTTCAAATATCATTATAAAAATTTTAACGTTCGGTTTCATATCTTTGTTGAAAAAATCAGATCTAAATTTACTAAAAAGTTTTAACTCGGAGAAAGTACGTGGTGCTTGCAATATGCGATTCCGTATATAAGCGAAAATCGCTTTGCGAATAACATATGCTCTCGGGCATAACTGCGCCATATGTCGCTTTATGTTTTTTGCTATTCCGTGCCGAGAGTAGCGGGCTGGGATGAAAAATAGAATGAAACAAATGCAAAACTTCAGAACTAATATCACGACGGGACGAGAATTTCGTTAACTCTTCACTCTTTAATGCGTTGAACGCTTCGTGCATTTTTGATGCAAGCGAAAAAGTTGGATAATAAAGGACACATAAAGCAAAGTACAAAATATGATTAATTAATTTAATACGAAATGCGCCCGTTTTCGATGGAATAAATTTCGCATTTAAAATTATTTTAACTTTATATCTAAGCGCCAAAAAACTGTAATATATTTAATTAAATGTGAAACTTGTTATACATAAAATCTATCGCAGTGCTCCCGATTGTCATATGACCGCGGATTCGTTCTAAAATATTTTTGTGCATAATTTTGTAATTTTATAATTATAGATACGCGGTGAATGTAATTAAATCGAGATTTTTATTTTTTCTGAGAATCGCAAAACATCACACATGACTGAAATTTTCATCTTGTTTCACTCTGCTATAATATTTTGTATATTGAGAGACAAGTGCCAATCAGAGCTGCTCTATATTTGAATGCGTTTTATCGTCGCGTCAACGTAAAAAAATCTTGTTAAACCACACTCGAGGTGTTAATTAAGAGTATATCAGCCAGCCGGTTTTCCTCCACACTCGGATGATGGATTTTACGAGGAAGGCTGCGCTGGAGCCGTCCAGACGCTTCGCCGCAGATCGCCCCGCGGTGCGATCCTCCCTCGCATACCTCGCCCCCGGGACATCGGGAGAGCATCGAATTTGCGGAAATACCACGAGTGCCTCGTCTGGTACCAGATTCGGCCGCGCGTAGAGATGGAACGGATGGCGGATGTCGGGGACGAGGTCGACCAGGGCAGGATGGTCGCGAAGGGCTAGAGTGCCCGCGGGGTGAAGGGGGTACATTCCTCCGGTGTATTACGAGCCGGTACACCCGCCAGCTGGCAAAAGCGTGTACACGCGCGATCGCATGCTCACCCATATGCCGGACCGAACAACAACGACCCGCCGTTGGTACTTCCGCGGACCACCTCGCCGCATCCCTCCCCCCCCCACCCCCCGCTAGCTGCGTCTAAACTGCACACGTATGTGCGTAACACGTGTACTCGCGTATTTATACACGCGCGCACATTCGGCGCACGCTCGGCGAGCGCGAGGATGGAAGTTAACTGAAACGGAGAAGTTGGCATTACGCAATGGCGCGAGTCGGCGTTAAAGCGGGAAACTACTCTTCGCGTACACAATCGCGGGCAGCGTTGGGACAACTGGTTCGAAACAACCGGCTGCTGGATAGACTAGCAGAAACGATTACTTATACAGCTCGGTGCGCCAGCGTGCCTGCAAATTGCAGCGCACGTAGTATGTCGTTCGAAAGTTATATGGTTCCATAAGGATATACGAGCGGCGGTACTATGGGCCAAAGGATATCATATATTACCCCTCAAATTTGTCAAGAATATTTATGGCAACGGTTTTTAGAATCAAGATTATCTATAGCAACGGTTTTTATTAATATGATATTTATATTATTATGTATATAACTTATATTGAGAAATATTGAGTTAAATTTGTTTTTTTTTTACATTAAAAAAATCTACATTTTTTATTTTGATATAAAAAACTTTTACTATTTAATTAAGTTTTCTAGATTAATTGTATTGAATGAGACTACTCGCGCATCTTTTACGTCTCTTTTAATTTGAGAAATACATTTACAGTAAAAAATGTGTGGAATAAATTAACAATAAAAAATATAGAAATATGTAAATTAATCCAACTGGTGTATATAAAAATATTCCCTGCATTTCGAACGGCTGCATGAACAAAAAAAAAAGAAGAATTGTTACGATTAATCAAGTTGCAGCATTTTTTAATTCTAAACTCGTAACATACATAAGATTAAATGCTTGACTATCGGTATTGTAACGCATTGTGATGTTAACGGCGTTGTATGCGATACAGCGAGGTATAACAGATTAGTGGTCGGACGTCCATATCGGGACGTGGTTATGCCTGTCACAAGCCAGGGCGACCAATTATAGTGCAACATCTCTGTGTTCTCCATCAGAATGTATAACGTTTCCAGTTGCACGTATACTCCGCGATTGTGCAAGAAAGTTGGCGGAGAGTTTGAAACCAATCTCGTGCATAAACAAAATACGGAGCATTGGGATTTTGTAGCAAAAAGACAACTCATATTTGCGAAACAAACTTTGCGCCGTTAAATATTTCTGTTTGGTACTTCAGGCATGAATATCCATTCAAGGAGCGAATAATAATAAGTTCACCGTTTCGATCGTACTTGAAAATAAGGACCCGTGTACCTCCGTAATTTGAATCTTTGTGGTGTTTAAAAATGAGGTCCTCGTGCCTTTGCCCCGACTATCGGATACGTAGATGTATATGCACACTTTGTGCATTGCGGAATATAGAATCGGTATATTAATGGAGAAAACGTGATAGCCTATCGTGCGGCATAGCGTGCGATTATAGGATACGGTATAAAGAAGCAAGGGTGTATTACGACACCGACGAACGTTTAATAACGCGTCACGCACGATCGTTTGTCCGTGTAATAATTCATGTTGGATTTATGCTTGTACCCTGTGTTCTCAATTTCCTCTAATTTTTTTTCTTTTGTTAAATTTGCACATAAAACAGTAAACAGTAAAATTTTTTGTATAAAAAAGTTCAAATAAAAAGATGTAGATTTTTAATATAAAAATCAAGTTTTTAGTTAATATTTTGTAATTATATGCATAACAATCTAGCAATATCATAAATATTATTGTATTAAGAAAACATTTAATAGAATGTGCTTAGATAGCCGAAACAATTTTTATTTTTATCTTTTTATGCGAGTTGGAGCTTTTTCTCTAAAATTATGGAACATTTGGTTAGGTCTGTAAGTCGATTTTCAAAATGTCGAAAGTTTATATATACGTGCAGATGCACCGTCGACTTTGGATGGAGTTTAGGCATTTGCCGTGTAGCATTACAAAAATGCCCGACTATTTAATGCCTATAAATTTACTATAGCGTAGCAAGAAGTTCCGTCGGTGAAAAGTGGAGTCTGTTTGTGCACGGCGTTTCCGAAACTACCCTGAAAGTTTCAAGCTATCGTAGAGGAGGTGGCTCGTGGCACGGTGCTGGGTCAGACCGGGCTGTAGCTTTGTCGTAAATTCCTACAAATGTTGTAACAGGTCGACGCATTACGACAGCCGACGCTCGTTCGTCGTTATTACGGCGCTGTACGTCGTTATGAATTTTATGATCCTGCGCGCTATAAGTAATGCGGAAATTTATAATCCTGCGCTCTGAATGGCGACGCGAGCCTTTGCGAAATTCGCGTTGGCCCGCTCGCGCAACTGTTATAATACAGCTGAACATTTTTGGATTACCTATTCACTTATGAAAAGATCGCGTATATTATTTAATGCTAGTGAAAAGTTTCGTCTATTCGAATTCACCAAGCTTTCTATTACATTACAAAGCGAAAGCGGAGCGCGCGCGTCTTTTACTTCACAGATGAATTTGTCTTTACAAGTTTTATTGAAGAAAATTAAAATTATATGAATTAAAGTTTTTCCACTTAATTAAAGAAAAACGATAGGAATAATTTATATTCGTATAATATTGATCTTACAATGTTTGTATAGCGAGGCTAGAGATTCACTGAGTAAGGCAATGCGTCTTTGTTTGAGATCACGTCTGTTCCACGCAAATCGTATTATTAGCCTATAATTCCACGGCGTATATATCCTGATCCAGCAAAGCAGTTCCGTCCAAGCCGCTTGATCCCATCCGGGAATATTAAACGGAAATCGTCGACAGATGCGTCCGGCCGGTTAGATTGCGGACTCGCGCGGATTAATAACCGAAGACCCCCGAGTTAATTAGCGCTCCGGCTTAATACGAAATGCCACGGCACGTGTCGCGATAACTCGCGGTCCTGTTTGCAGCCGGTCGGACCTCCGCTTTTGCTCTCACCGCACGGGTTTGCGGCGCGCGCCCCGATTCCGCACGCGCTGCACCCTGTGGACATCGGACGTGACGATCGTGCATTCCCAGTGCGTGGTTCCCGGTGCATAAAGGACGGTGGCGGACTGCTGTCCGTTGTGCCCGCACACCCGGAAGCCAATCCGATAGAATGCACGGACAATGAGGAGAGAGGGCTCCACTGCCGGAGGAAGCTGGCACTGCGCCGTCGGCTTCGACGCGCCCCATTGATTGGTACGCGCACGTACAGCCGGCTCCCTTTGTGCCCTACCTTGCTCTGCGCAAGGTGCATTCACCTTGGTCATATTACGGTTTAATTGAAGTTGATGCCGGCCGCGTATAAAGGCCCGGGCGATATATCGCGACTGGGGATCTTGGGAAACGTAATTCGCGAGATTAAAGTGGAACGTAGGTCAAAGGATGTTAATCATTTTTAGTGCCAAACGTGTCCCAAATTGTACCACTCTTTCCCAACTTGAACCAGTCGCGCTTGCATACTAATCGCGCTGGGATTTTGCAAGAAAATGTGATTATCGCAATGTATGTATAACGGGTGAAATGTCTTGGGAGAATTGCATATGTGCAAAGTGAAAAACACATTGCGTACCGTGAGATATTTATTTTTAGCATCAAGTGTTGT